AAGGATTCTTCGGGGAGCTCCTCTGGGTGCCCCGAGCTGGGGAGCTCAAAGCAAGGTCCCTGCAATGGCTTGAGGCATTCCTGAGAGGATCAGAGGTGGAGCTGTCTGTCCTGGCCATGCAGCTCTGGACTGGGCTGTCATTGGCTTCTCAAAGTGGTGCTCTGACTGCAAAAGAAGTGTGGGATTGGGATTAAGGGATGAGTGGTGATGGTACCATTGGGTGTTTTCTCTTGGGTGGAATTGTGAGAGCTGCAGGAGTGCAAGGTGTGGGTTCCAGTGCCCAGCATTTGGTTTGCACATGTGCTGGTCAGACACAGGTCCAGCTTCCTCAGTCCTTAACACACCAGAGGGAGAATTGAGGACTGCCTTAATTAACCAATTAATTAACCAATCACTGTTAAGATGATGGGTGTGATAGGGATTTAACTGGAAAAACACGGGGTAAGTTCCTCAGTTTGTTTATTTGCAAGCTCCCCTAAACCTTTGCTAGGAAGAGATTTGCTGGACAAGTTGAGGCAGAAATGAACCTAGAGAATGTGGAGTTTGAAATTGTAATTGCTGAAACTAACTGTGTGAGAGCAGCAGCTTTTCTCGTGCAGGAAAGAACTCCTGTCAGCAGCACCGTCCCGACTGGAGTGGCAGAAGATGGAGTTGTTCCTGTGGTGTGGGCCAGTGGAATTCCAGGAAACTGGACCAGGGCAGAGCCTGTAGGTATTAGCCCTAAGCTGGGATCTGTATGGGTAAGGCAACCCCAGTATCCTTTAAAATCAGAATGCCAGTGTTAGATTTCAAGATGCCTTTTGCTGCACCTCCAGGAGCAAGGCAAGCCAAGAAACCTTTGCTTTTGAAGGAGAAGATGCAGAAATGGGGAAGGAAGAAAAGAAGCCCCCTGAGTCCTCCCTGAGCCACAGGCAGTCCCTGAAGTGCCTTCCTGGGAATGGTAGGATGGTGAGGACTCTGCATTGCTCCCTAGGGATGTGTGGTAAGGCTGATGCAAACTTTGGAAACCACCTGGAAGAGTTTGCTGCCTTGGATAGCTGGTGCAAGGGCAGCCTTTAGGCAGCTCAGGCATTCCCTGAGGAGAGCTCTGGCTCTGCCACATCTCTCTGAACTGTTTGAAGCCCCTTTGTTTGGGAGGGAAAACAAAGGACAAGGTGTGCAGAGGGCTTTGAGATAGTTTGAATAGATGGCCATAAGTCTGTCCTTGTTGTACCAGGAGGCCTTATCAAGCTCCCCATATTGCAGGAGATATTGCCATGAAAGCAAAAAGCGATCCTCATCATTCTTTGCTGGCTTTAGGATGTGCCCTGCAGGAACTCCAGGAATTGACGGTGACGCCTCGGCCGATGGATTGGACGCCCCAGCCCGTCCGTTCCTGCCCAGCCCTTGGGTCCCTGTCAAGGGGTGGGACTCCCAGCCCCTCCAGGTGAAGTGGAAAGGGCCTTTGCAGGCCTTGCTGATCCCATTTCTAGCAGTTCAAGTTGCAGAAAAGGGACCTTGGGCATTTTTATCTTGGGTCAGGAAAGCTCCTTTGATTGGTCAGCAGAACAAACTGGATCCTTGCAAGTTCTCATCCGTGTTTGTCCCTAAGCCTGTGTTCTGATTCAGGGCTGTAGCTGTTGTAGTCACTCAAGAGTCCAACTGTGCTTTAAATAAGGAGACCTTGTCCTAATGGCCAAGTGTGAGGAAGAAAGGGGGGATGTTGTGTGAGTTTTGAGGTGTAACGAGAGCTGATAGTTTTTGCAGGGGGCTGTGGCGTGGAAACTGCAGAGAGCTGAGCCAGGGGATTGACAGGGACTAACCCAGTGAGGTGAAGAAACAAGGAAGAAGGGAAGTGAGGCAGCAGCCAAGCAGCACCAAGTTCCTCTGTCAGCAGGTGAGTTGTGTTGAGGTTCCTAAGGCAGGCACTGGGGACTTTGGAGACTCCAGACAGAGAAGACCGTGGAAGCCCCTCGGAGAATCCTCTCAGAAACCTTACAGGGTAGGTGTGTATGGTTATAAGTGCTGGGGAATGTGCTGAGTGTGGAACAGGAATGCAGGGAACCATGTGAACCCTCCTGGAATGCTGCTCCCTCCCTTCAGCTGCAGTGGAGCCCCCTGTGTGTGCACTGTGGGAGCTGATGGCCAGGACAGGCGGTGGGCTGGGATGATTGCAGGGGGTTGTGAGCAAGGAATGGCTGGCTTGTCAAAGTGCCCAGCTGAGTGTGAGAGGCTGCTTTGGCGAGCTGCTTTCAGG